ACCCCTGAGGTCGTGATTGTTTCGCAACGTCGACCCCCAGAGGTCTGGACCCCTTCCCGGGGACCGGCTTTCATCCGGAGTTGTTTTGTTGACGGTCCCGAGGCCCGGGAGGGGCCCCTGGAGGCCGAACATGGGGACACATGTTCCGTCGTGGTTAATCTTTCCGCGCAGCGCGAGGTGGTCTGGGTTCGCCCCGCCACTCTCTGCCTCCTCCTCCCCCCCCTCCTCCTCCCTCCTCCTCCTTCTCCTCCTCCTCCTCCTCCTCCTCCTCCTCCTCCTCCTCCTCCTCCTCCTCCCCCTCCTCCTCCTCCTCCTCCTCCTCCTTCCTCCTCCTCCTCCCTCCCCCCCGCCCCCCCGCCAGAGGCGCCGCAGGAAAGAGCGCCGGCGCCTGGCGGCGCAGGCGGGCGTGGTGGGTGTGGTGGGCGTGGTCGCGTCGGCGCCCAGGCGCCGACGCGCCGCTTGCCCCGTAGCCGCTCGGGGCCCACCGCGAGGAGCCAGCAGTTGCCTCCTCCTCCTCCTCCTCCTCCTCCTCCTCCTCTTCTTGCCCGGGGAGGGATCGCTGCCCCCCGGTTGGGGCCCACGCGGTGGCGCCGTGGGCTGCCCGAGGATTTTCGGGGCGTGCGGTACGGCCGGGCCGAGGTGTGAGATCGAGGTCGGTTCGGGGAGGGTGCCCTATAGATGTAGTGCCCTTCGTGTCTGTTGTATGCTCTTGTGCATCCTGGGGAGGGTACCCTTGGATGCTCTGTACGCTTTGGGCGACCGAGGATCTCATGTTCTTGAGGGAGGTTCTTCTGGCCGAGGTCCGACTGTAGCCCAAGCGTGCGTTTGCCCCGTCGGCCCTCTTTGCGCCGCCTTGTTACGTCGTATTCAGGGGCTCCAGTGGACAAGCGCACGTTGTCGCTGACTCACGTTCTGAGGATCCTCGAGCTGTCGCGGGCGATGTCTCTCTTATCCGATTCCCGCGCTCCGCCCTCCCAAAGAAGCGCGGCCGCTCAGAAAAGAAGGGGGAGCTCGGGGATATACCCTCTAGGGGCCTGTCCGAGCGCACCCCTGTCGAGGATGGAGGCCCCCCCCTCCGTATCGTAAATCCTCGATTTGGGCCCCGTTTTCTCTTGTCCAGTCGAAGCCACCCACAAATCAGGGGTTTGGGTCGCCATAGCCCTCAGAGGGCCAGGTGGGCATCGTGAGCTGATGCCGGACCCACTCTCCTCGGAGGTCTTCGGAGATCTCTGGAGGCTTTCGGGCTGTACTCGGGTGGTGGCGCGACTACTGCGAGTACCCCCCGTGCAGCGTGTGCCGCTGGACGTCGCATCTATTTCGTGCCGGAAGTGGGCCCCGCAGGGGACTCGACCTCTTCCCCGGGGCCGGCTTTTCATCGTGAGTCGTGCTTTTCGGTTGCAAATCATGGGGGCCTTGTGTACCCTCGCAATTCTGCTTTTAGTGTCGATTAGCGTCTGGGAGTCGATGAGATAGCGCCGGTTTAGCGTCGACTAGCGTCGATTAGCGTCGACCTAGCGTCGATTAGCGTCGATTCGAATCGACTGGCGTCGATTCGCAAGAGCCGACAAGATGGTATGGAAGGCTCCCATGGGTTGCCACCGTAGTGTTTCGAGCGTGCTGGGTCTGGGAATCGGCCTCCAGAGGTCGAGGTGGCCGTCGCGATTTCTTGCCACGCCCAGCTCTGATAGGCTCGCGCTTTTGCTGCGTCAATGTTTGCCCCTGGGCTTGGACCTGCGGCGTGCTCTTGTCAGGGTGTCGCGAGGAGATTCCAGCCGTGGCGACGAGAGCCTCTCAGCAGTCCCCACAAAAGCCAGCCACGCGCAGAGGGTGCCGGGCACGGGGAGAGGGGAAGGCATCCTATAGGAGCACCCCTGCTTCTCAGAAGGCTTCGGGCCTGGCCTGCAGGTGTATAAAAGTCCCGCGCCTTCTGAGAAGCAGCCTCCTAAGATGCCTCCCCCCCTTCCCCCCTGCCCCCTTGTGCGCGCCGCCGAGGGAGGAGGAGAAGGAGGAGGAGGAGGAGGAGGAGGAGGAGGAGGAGGAGGAGGAGGAGGAGGAGGAGGAGGAGGAGGAGGAGGAGGAGGAGAGACCCCCCCCACCCACACCACCACAGGAGGTTCAGGTCGCCCGCGGGGGCGCGAAGACAGCCAGCTGCGCTCCTCGCGCCCAGCGCGGTCCAGGCCCAAGCGGTCGCCCTTCCCTTCTGCGGGGCGCGCGCGGTGCGAAGTAGGTGGCCCGGGCACGCCAGCAAGCAGCGAACTTCGCGCGGCGGCGAGCCCCAGGGGGGAGGTGCGAAGGGGTGGGCCTTCTCAGAAGGCTCGGAAGCCTTGCCCGCAGGCGCAGCACAAGTTCTCAGGAGGCCGGAGGGCTTCTGAGAAGCCCCCCCGCCCTTCTGAGAGGCCCCGCCGCCTCTGAGAAGGCCTTCTCCTTCTCACTTCCCCCCGCTCGCCGCCGATCTTGGTCTGGGCTCCCTCTTGGAGGCCGTCTCGGGTGCCTCTGGGGCCGTCTGGAAGGCCTCCTGGGCCGTCTTGGGGCCCTCTAGAGCCGTTTTGGGGCACTCTTGGAGGCATCTTGGGCCGTCTTGGGACGATCTTGGAGCGAGAGGGAGCCGCAACGGCTAGAACGACAACATCTTCCAACAACAATTCAACATCGATAACTGTTGCCTCTTGGTGTTCTCCCCCCTCGCTCGCCGCCGACACGCTCCTCGAGCCCTGGACCTTGAGCATCGCACCAGCGACCGTTGCAGACGAGACGGCGCGCCCGGGCGGGGCGCCCGTCGCGCCAGGATCGTCCCGCGCGCGCCGTCCAGTGTCGTGCAGCCCTCGAGAGGGCGTCGCACTGGCGTCGCGCAGCGTCGTCGGGCTGCCCAGGCGCAGGCTGGGACAAACATCAGGCACAGACACTTTTTCGTCGGCAGCGAGGCGGAGGCGATCCGCACCAACGTCGGACTCATCGGGGGCACCGATCGGCAAATTGTCCGGAGTGCAAGAGAACGAGAGGGAGGAGAGGGCGCGCGGGGGGAGAAGGGGGTAGGCGCTCAGAAGCGGAAGACTTTGGGGTGAGCGGGCCGGAGCGGCCAGCCAGGGCAGTGAGGTCGCGGCAGTAGCCACGGCCAGGGCCAGGGCGCACCCGCGGGCGCTGCCAGGGCGCGGCAGCGGAGAAGAGCAAGTAGAACCATTACAAGGGCCCGAGGCCTGCCATTAGCAAAATGTTGTACCCATCATGTGCGTCAACCGTGCGGTGCCCACCGTACTCGCGCAGCAGCCGCGCAAGGGGCTGGGCGTCGCGCCAGGGTGGCGCCAGGGGGGCGCTGAGCTGCAAGCCGAGGGCGAAGCAGCGCGGTGGCGACATGGCGGCGCGAGTATAGGCACCGACACACATGCGCGTCGATGTTCAATAAACTATTGAAACATCTGGGAAATGGAGGGGGGAACTCACATCCATCACAGATGGGCAGATCTTACATAGGGAATCCCGGAACGAGTGTCCATTCATGTGTGTCTCCTTGGGCGCCTTTACAGACCAAAGGTGTCTTGGTTTTCCGTCTTGGGGTCCTAGAAGTCCCGACCCCCTCCCCAGGGCCGATTTCTCGTGTTGAGCTGGTTTCTGACAGCCCTCTAGGGCCTCGGAAAACTCAACCAGTTTATATTTAGTGGCCTTCGGCCAATCCCGCCCATGTGCCTAAGCACGGGTGGCTTGGATATGCCTGTCGGGGTTTCTAGGGATGGCCCTTCGGAAGGTTCTTTGAGTGGTTCCCTCATTGACGCAAGCTATATGATGATATGATTCAAGCTGTACCCAAGAAATACCACTTGGGTCATATGGACCCCAGCGGGCGTCGATCCCTCGTGCCTGGGTTGTGTGTGAGAGGCTCTCTCGGAGGCCACATGGTGTGTCTCCCTCTTGAATGACTCTTGAGAGCCTCTTCGGGCCTCTTGGGAGCCTTTTGGGGGGCCTCTTGGGGGCCTCTTGGCGGAGTCCCCAGGCCTTCTGAGAAGTTTTCCAAGCCTTCCCCGAAGGCGCAAACAACTTCTCAGAAGGCTGGAGGGCTTCTGAGAAGCCGCCGCCTTCTGAGAGTGCCTTCTCCTTCTCACTCCCCCCCTCGCTCGCCGCCGATCTTGGTCTGGGCTCCCTCTTGGAGGCCGTCTTGGGGGCCTCTTGGGCCGTCTGGGAGGGCTCTTGGGCCGTCTTGGGGCCCTCTAGAGCCGTTTTGGGGCACTCTTGGAGCATGTTGGGCCGTCTTGGGACGATCTTGGGTGCCTCTTGAGCCGTTTTGGAGCGTGAGGGAGCCGAAACGGCTAGAGCGACAGCATCTTCGAAAAACCATCGAAAGTCAATGATTGTTGCCTCTTGGTGTTCTCTCGGAACGCCTCGTGGAGGCCTCTTCGGGCCCTCTCGGGCGCTTTCTAGGCCGACTCGGGACCATCCCGGGCGTGTTGGAGCGACTGTTCAGCGCTTCCGTCCCGGGTCCCGGGGCCCGGCGAGGGCCACGAGAGGCCGAGCACTAGCAATAAACCTCGCGTCGTTATTTTTGCCACGAGGCGAAGGGTCTGGGAGCCAACCCATTGGAGAAAGCAATTTCGACGACGACGACGACGACGGCGACGACGACGACGACGACGGCGACGGCGACGGCGACGGCGAGGCGACTTCGACGACGACGACCATCTTGGCCCTCTTGGACCGTCCCGGGAGCCGTCCGCAGTGCGCGGCGGCGGCGCCCTCGCCGCGGCACGGCTGAGCCGCGGCCGTGCCGCGCGCCGCGTGCGGCGGGGCCCTGCCGCCTCCGCGCCGCCCGCGGCGGCGACCGCGGCGGCGACCGCGCGCGCCGCCCCGCCCGCCGCCCCGCCCGCGCGCAGGTGACGCGCGGCGGCGGCGCGCCGCGCGGCGGCGCGCCGCGGCCCTCGGCGCAGCGGTGGCCCTCGGCCCTCGGCGGTGGCCCTCGGCGCCGCCGCATTCCGGCGGATCGGCCCTCGGCGGAGCGGCCCCCGCGCGGGGCGGTCGCCGCCCCCCCGCGCTGCGGCGTGGCGCGGCCGCGCGCGGGGGCCGCTGGCCGCCGCCGCGGGGGGGAGGCCTTTGGGCGTGGGCTCGGCGGCGCGCACGGGGGGGTGGGAGCCCAGGGGGCAGGCCGCCGCCTCGGAGGGTGGCAGGGGAGGGGAAGGTGCCCATACACCGCGGCGCTTTTCCCATGTGGTCGCCGCAGGCTGGAGGCGCCTCGGAATCCTGCATGGTCAGAGCGCGCCCCGGGAGAGGTCCGGGGAGTAGCGCTGCCGGTATACTTTTTGGTTTCCCCAGGCTGGATCGGCACCGCCCACGCATCCTTGTGCTATGTGTGCGTCGGCCCCGTGGGGGCACCGCTCGCCCTCAGACGTTTTTAGTAGAAGTCCTGTAGTGCATGCCGGATGGCGGGCGCCTTCTGGCCTTGCCGCCTGAGCCACGTCATAGTACGAGGTGCTTGTGTTATATGTTCGGTTCGGACGTGCGCCTCCATGGGGGGCATGTTGTACTGGTGCGCCACTGCGCGTCCCATTCAGGGTCGCGTGCGGCTCGCCCCCGGCCGTACATCAGGCAGCTCGGAGACGAGGGGGACCGAGGCAGTACGACTGCTGCGGGGGGCGGCTCCGTGGAGGCCGGTGTCAGACGAATCTCGCCGGCGCGATCTGCTTCGGCATTCCGCTGTTGCGACGATCCGATGCGGCTCGGTGCTTGGATGGGCGCTGCTGTGCATCCTGGCGCGGCCGATCCGCTTCGATTCCGGCTTCGTGCTGATGCGGCTCCATCCAGCGCGCGCTCCCATCCAGCCCGATTGGCCTGGCATCGCTCGGACGTGTGCATCTTTTCTCGGCGAGAACCATCGAGGAGCATCCTTGATCATTTGGCGAAAAACCACGCACGAAACCGAGAAAAACACAGGGAATGGACGTCCGAGCGATGGCGAGTTGGACGATTCGGTGCCGCCCGCTCTCGCCCCTCTGGCGCGCCGCCGAGGGGGTGCCCTGCGAATTCGTGCGTAATTCGGTATACAGTCGGGGCGCTGAAGAAGGAACCCTTCTCGTTGACGAGGGGCTCGGTGTTCCTTGATTGTTTTACAGCTTGCGTTGGGTTTTCCATGGGAAATCGAAGTTTAACTTGTAGGAAAAAGGGGCCTCGTTCCTTGTTTAGGGTTCCTCAGGTCAACGCCCCGACGGTATAGCTTTTTTGACCCTCCTCCTACGCTGCTGCCCCCTGTCGTCGGGCGTCGCGAAGGCACTCAGACCAGGAAGGCCTGCCGCGATGTCGGCGTCCGGGGGCCGTTTTCAAGCCCTGATCTCGGGTGTTGCCAGCAGTGCCCCTGGCCCAGGGGTGCCCCCAGGATATCTCCAGGGAGGCCCCCCCAGCGGCCTCCAGAGCACCCCTCTCGAGGCCCAGAGGGCCCTCGGTGCTCCAAAGTGAGGCGACAAGCTGGGGGCACCTTGGGCCAGGGGCACCTTTAGCAGCCCCCGAGCATTGATTTGAATAGCCCTGCGGATCCTGCCCGAGGCCGATGCCAATGGGCCCGGAGCCACCGCGAGAGGCACACTGCACGCCCAGCTTTTTGAGCAGCGAGGCCGCTGCGAGCCGCGCCCGCGCGAGCGCCTCCCCCTGGCCTTCCTGTGCGAGCGGGGCCGCCGGCGCGCGCGATGCTTCTGGCGCTCTTTTTGGCAAACGTCTGACAACTTGTGTCCATTGTGCCGTCGCTTGGCCCCGTGGCAGACGCGGAGAGGAAACAACGCCACAGACATAAACGTTTGGCGCTCCTCGCGGCTTTCTTAGATCCGCGTTGGGCCCCCCCGGGCGGCGCCTCGGGCGCCGCCCCTGGGCGCGCTCCGCGCGCCAGGGAGGGGTGTCCAGCGCGGACCGTCGAGCGTTGATGTTTGATGCTGTTGTTTCTTCCTCGATAGACGGGCTGACTGTGTTCTGCGTAACGGTGTGGTATGTTTCGGCATTGTAGCTGGGATTAGTCCGTGGCCAAGCCAAATTTAGGACACCATGGTTCGTGGTTTCAGCAACTCGCCGTGGCGCTCTCGGTCCACGCGTGGGTAAATTTTTGGAATGTGGGAGCGCGTGGTTCGTGATGTTCTACGTTTGTTTTTGGGCGCGCTCGGTGTCACTAAACCAGGTTCCCTACCACTCGGCGGTGAGCGAGGGGGGGAAGTGCGATGGAGAAACCTTCTCAGAAGGTTCGGCAGTCCCCAGGCCTTCTGATAAGTTTTCGAAGGCTTCCCCGAAGACACAAACAAAACTTCTCAGACGGCGCGAGGGCTTCGGAGAAGTCCCGCCGCCTTCTGAGAAGGCCTTCTCCTTCTCACTTCCCCCCCCTCGCTCGCCGCCAAACCACGCCGTTGACATACAGCACCGCTCGCCCGGCCTTCGTGACTTCCCACGTGGGGACGTCCGATGCGATGACATACTGGCGCCGATCCCCGCGGGTCCGCCCCCGGGCCCAGGATCGGCGGCGCGGGCATGGTGGACCCATGAGGGGGATAGAGAGAGAGAGAGAGAGATGGGGAAAGGGAGAGATAGAACGAGAGAGAGGGATCTATACATATACAAAACAAGCGTAGACACACACATACATATACATATATATACATATATAGAGAGAGAGAGAGAAAGAGAAAGAGAGAGAGAGAGAGAGACAGAGGGAGAGGGAGAGGGAGAGAGAGAGAGAGAGAAGGTCGTGGCTGGGAAGCGTTTCCCCACTCGCGGTTTCGCGATCCGAGCATCTCGGCGGCGCCCCCCCTCTCGGAGGCGCCGAGGGCATCGGCGCAGTGATCGCGCATCTGTGGGGGATCGCGCCTCGATGTCCAGACCGTGGGGGCACAGAGCATGGCAGCTTCGCGACGTGTCGATGCGGAGTCGACCTCATCGCGGGCGTTCAAGGCTGAGCATCGCCGGTGGCTCGGAATCGGCCGATGCCGCGCGGCCCGCGCTGTCGCGGAGCCGCGATCGCCCAAGCCTGAGCGGTCCACGCGGTGGCAGAGGCCAAGGCCGAGGTCGTCACGACACGAGCCTGCCGCATGTTCGTTCGCAGCGCGTGACAGAGAGAGAGAGAGAGAGAGGGAGAGGCCCTCGGCCACCTGTGGAGGCGCGAAGACGGAAGCTTGGCATCGCTCGGACGTGTGCGTCTTGTTCTCTGCGAAGACCATCGTGGAGCATCCTTGACAATTTAGCAAACAAACACGCACGAAAACAAAACATGCACGGGCAATGGACGTCCGAGCGATGGCAGTAATCGCGCTCTGCGCGCAGCAGTCCGGGCCGAAGCGCGGGTCCTTCGGGGTCGGGGCGCGAGGGGGGACGAGTGGCCGGCGGCGCTGCAGTCTTTTCTGCGTGAGTTGTGGATCATGCTGTGGGCCACTGGGTTGGAGGGGGGATGAAGTCACTCTGCAAGGGATGCCCTTCCCCCCCTCAGCGCTCAGCGGCACTTCGCCGACATCCTACTGGGGCGCGCCAGCGACTGTTCCCTAATTGGGCCCCTCAGCACTGGAGCCGGACCACAGCGGAACCCCGTCCTGACAGGCCCATGGATCTCGAGATAGCTGCTCGCTCCGCGGGCTCCGTCATCAAGCCTCATGTGTGCGGCGGTGGGCTGGCGGAGGATTCTGGAGGAGGAGGAGGAGGAGGAGAAGGACCAGTGTGAACCCAAAATGCGTAAAAGATGTTGTAATAAACCCTGCATCCAATCTCCTCCAGAAGTCCTTACAGTAAGTCATCGTCATGGCTGGAACTGGCCCACGTGAAGACAACTGTCTGGAAATCCTCAATCGTGCCTAAACACCAACGCCGCGGATCAACGTGATTGACCCGTGCCAGAACAACATTCCCGGGACTTCAGCACCGCGCATCAAGGAAATTGTTGCGCCCTGACCATCGTGCCAGAATACCCTTCTTGGGATTTCAACCATACGAATCCTTGAACAAGGCGCACATGTATTAATCGAATGTGCGCGAAGCTACGGCGAGAGCCACATGTTGAGAAGTGAGCCGCCCTCCGTCATTGAAGCTGCCGCAAACTTTAGACAGATATGCGCTGCGCTAGGGCTATATTCACACTTTGAAGAATAACCCGCAGTCCATCGTTGAATCTACTGCAGTTTTTTGAAGACGAATGTGTGCGGCGCTACGGAGATCTCCTCATTTTGAAGGGAAGCCGCCCTCCATCGTTGAAACTGTGCTGAGAAACTTTTCAGACGCGGCGCTAAGGCGATAGTCCGTCCTTGAAGTTCCTGCGAGCTTTAAAGACGAATGTGCGCGGCGCTAAGGCGAGCGCCACACTCTGAACACGGCCCGCCCTCCATCCGTGACATTGCTGCAGAGTTTAAGCTTCAGGGTCATGAGTGGTGAGGAAGTCTCAGGCGAAAGGCCCAGCCCGCCCGTTTGGGAGTGCGACAGGGAGGAGCTACTCATATGAAAAGGGATGGAGGAGGACCAGGCAGGCCTAGGAAGAGGGTGAATCGATGTAGCGCTTTCTGGTACGCTGTCAGGGCATTCAGGAGCGCTCTGGAACGGCAGCGGCGCCCGACATACCTCCCAAGACCCGCCAGCTCTCAGAAAGTCGCCGGTTGACTCCTCCGAAGGTGTCTTCATCTCGTCCTCGCTCGAGGATGACGATGAGGAGGAGGAGGACGAGGAGGAGGAGGAGGAGGAGGAGGAGGAGGAGGAGGAGGAAGGAGGAGGAGGAGGAGGAGGGAGGAGGAGGAGGAGGAGGAGGAGGAGGAGGAGGAGGAGGAGGAGGAGGAGGAGGAGGAGGAGGAGGAGGAGGAGGAGGAGGAGGAAGGAGGAGGAGAGCAGGAGGAGGAGAGGAGGAGCAGGAGGAGGAGGAGGAGGAGGAGGAGGAGGAGGAGGAGGAGGGAGGAGGAGGGCGTGGAGGAGAAGCCAGCGCGCCATCCCCGCGGGGCCAGGCCGACGGGCACAAGCTCTCCCGAATTCGCCTCCCCCGGCGCGCTCCGTCGCCGCCGGCCCGGGAGGCTCTCCGCACGGCACGCGGCGCCGTCGCCGGCCTGGCGCCGGCGGCGGCGGCGACGACGTCGTCGGTCCCGTCTCGGTGCGCTTCCCCGGGGGCACCTCGCGGGCGCAGAGAGGCGGCACCCCTCCTCTTGGTGGTCTCCAAACCAGGTGGTGAGACACCCGGTGGTGACCCCGATTCCCCCCAAACAATAATTCTGGGTCACCACCGGGTTTGGGGACACGCGGTCGCCACGAGGTTTTGCGTTTCCTGGGCCAGCCAACGCTCGAAAACCATTACCCAAATCGCCCAAAACTCACCACCGGGTGTTCTCACCACCACGTTTGGGGACCACCAATCCTCTTGAGGTTAGGCGGGCGCCCGCGCTGCTGTCGACAAGGCCTCGCACAGTCAAGGGAAGGATCCTGCCCACCAGGGGGGGGGGGCCTCTGCCTCGAACGCTGGCGAAGCGTCCTGGCTTGCCTATAGGGCCCACCAAAGAATGTTCTAAGAACATTTGGTGGTCTGCGCGAAATGTTCTTAGAACACGTATGGCTGAGACCGTCTTGTTTTAACACATCGGGCTTATGTTCTGCGAACATTGTTCATGTTCTCAGAGCATTCTTGGGTTCTAAGAACATATCGTGTGGTAGGCCTATGGGAATGCCGGGACAGTCGGTCCCTGCTCAACCGCAGGGCGTCGTCGCAGGGGCTTCGAGGGTGGGGGGGGATGCAGAGGACCCAGACCCCCTCGAGTAATGACAAAAATCACGACGGACAGTTTTGCTTTAATTTAGGCCTCCAGGGGCCCTTACCGGGCCTCGGGAACGTCAAAAAACTATTCATCGCCGCAGAAGGCGCGAGGCAGCACCCCTCAACCGCGGGAGGTCCGCTGCAGCGACGAGCACTTCTGTATAACTCTTTTTAGGCGTTCGCGACATGTCGGCCGAGGCTTCGGTGTCGCTCGGGGTGGCGGGGACGCCCAGCGTGTTTTAATCCATCGCAGCCTGCCTGAAACGTTTAGAGGCTTTCATCGCTCCCATGTCGTCGTAAAAAAACAGTCCTGGGGAATAGGTCGAAACCTCTGGGGTAGACGTCATGAAAAAATCATGACGTCGGGGGTCTGGGGAGGAAGAGATGTCGATGCCTCCGCCCCCCTCCCCTCTGCCCCCCTTTCCGTGTTTTGCTGCTGCCACCGCTGGGCTCGCCTCGGAATCCTGATCAGAGCGCACCGCGTGATAGTTCCAGGGGGTACCCGTATCATCAGTGTATCTTTTGGTGCCCCCGTGGTGGCGTTGCTGACGGCAACTGTGACCGTGGGGGTCGGGGGGGGGACGAAACAGGTCGGCGCTAGAGCCCCCTCCCCGCACCCTTTACTTTGCACGCGGATCGCATCGCAGGCGATGGCGTTGGAGGCGCCGCCAGGCAGCGTGGGGATGGGGGGAGCCCGGCGCCGAATAGCGACAATCGCGCCAGTTTCCGAGCGTCTACGGTCACGAGCGCTTGCTCAGCGTGTCGCGCCGCCAGCTCCGGCCCAGCGCGCCTCGGCACCACACGCTGAGCACGCCCCAGCCTTAGTTGGCCGCAGAAGCGGCAGGGCCGTTTCTTCACCGTTTCGGGAAAGGTCTCTTGAAGATGGAAACGGTGAAGAAACGGCGACCAGACGCGGCAAAAAAGCGGCTTCGGCATTGGAGCCAGAACCAGAGCCGGGGAAACAGCAGCGACGGCACCAGGAACAGACACGGCGCCAGAGCTGGCCGGGCCCAGCCCCCCTCGGTCGGCGGCGAGCGAGGGGGGGGGGAGTGAGAAGGAGGAGGCCCTCTCAGATCAGAAGGCGGCGGGGCTTCTTGGAAGCCTTCGCGCCCTCTGAAGGCTCAGAAGACTACTCCGAACGGGGCACTTCCGAGCCATCCGAGAAGGCCCGCCCCTTCTCACTTCCCCCCCGCGCTCGCCGCCAACCAGAGGCACGGAACAAGAATGACGGGAGGTTTTGGCCCATTTTCGGCCCCAGGGGGCCTTTCTACCGGGCTGCGGGGCCGTCAGCAGACGGCCCACGACAACACAAACACGGTCCCGGGGAAGGGTCTGGGTAAGGGGGGAGAGGCTGAAGTCGGGCACGTCCTTGTACAGGATGAGTATCCGAAATAAGTACAACAAAAGTAGCCTGGGATCGATTTCAGTTGACCATGTTTGACCATGTGGGAGCATCTTTTTTGACCATTGTGTGCTCTTCGTTCAAGACCCTCCTGTAGGAGGACACGCCCGACCCGAGGATGGGCTCACTGGGGGAGTGCACCGCCCCCATGGGTGGCCCGTGCACCGCCGACAGAGGCCCCGTGGCCCGCCATGGCCCCACGAGCGCGCGGATGCGCCGTCGGGGGCCGATTCGCCGCTCTGTCGGCGATGCATCGTCGAGTCCAGGTTTGAGTCGGGTGTGTCGCTCTACAGGAGGAATGTCCAAAGATAATCAAGAAATAGTCTGGGACGTTTTGTCAATGATTTCTTGACTTTTTGAGCTGTTTTTTATTTTTCGTCCAAAATCCGCCTGTAGGGGGACATGCCTTCCCTCCGAGCGATCGACACGGGTACGGAAAGAAGCGGTCCGAAGGCCGGCAGCAGATCCTGTCCGTTCTGAAGACGGTCTGCTGCCGGCGTCGCCGCGGACGTGGTCCATTCGAGACAGACACGGCCGCCTGCCCAGGAGCGGCCGTGTCTGTCTCCACCCATGTCGGGCGTCCAATTTCTTCCCCCCCCCCCCCCCCGAGCACGTCCCCCCTTTCATCTTTGCCACTCATCCTCGCGAGCTGCCGAGGAGGAGGAGGAGGAGGAGGAGGAGGAGGAGGAGGAGGAGGAGGAGGAGGAGAAGCTCCTCCAGATGTCAATGATCGCCCCCGGCGGCCTCGGACGCTCAGCCGGCTGGAGCGCGCAGAAACCGCGGCCAGGGCGCCGGTCGCTGCGAAGCGCCGCTCGCCGCCTGGCGCCCGGCGGCCAGAAGGCGGAGTCCGCCTGTCCGAGGAGCCTGCGGCGACCGAGAAGCGGTGGGCGGCCACGTGCAGAGGGGGGTAGGGGGAGGGGGGAAGGGTTCTTCGAAGCACCCCTGCCTCTTAGAAGCGGCGGGCCTTGTCTGTAGATGTGAGTCCCGCGCCTTCTAAGAAGCAGCCTGCTGCTAAGAAGCCTTTCCCCCTCCCCCTACCCCCTTGTGCTCGCTGCCAGGGTGGGCGAGCGTGTGTTCTCCAAGTGCCAGGTTCGGGGAGACGTAAGTCTCGAATAGGCTAGAGCGCGGGTTTGCCGAAGTTGTTTGACGAGCGCGTTCTAGATTTTGACGGTCTGGTTGTCGTGGGATGCTTGCAGCGGGAGTTCGCGTCAAATTTCAGATTGGGTCGCGTCATTCTCATGATGGCGAACAGGAAAACACACATAAGCACAAAGGGTTGTATTGGTTTTACGCCGGAAGGGGGCGTCGTTGAGAGGGTGCCTGGCACGGATGCGGGGATCGGGGTGGCGTCGGTGTTTGGAGCTGGCGGTTTGCGTGGCAAGCGCGTTTAGCTGGTCGCATATGTTCGGAACGCGTGACGGGTGGAAAGGCCGCTCACCAGCAACTGGCAGTCCTCTGCCCGCGGGCCAGAACAAATCGTCGCGGGCTCGCAACGGGGCGTGGGAAAGGGGGTTGGGAAGGAAGAGCGAGTCTCATCCCCAGGAAATCCCTTCGATACGCAGCAAACAATTATTTTTTCTAGTCATCTGCCGCACGGCCAACCGAACGAACAACTTTTTCGGCGCGCAACGTAAGCTTCGCTTGCGCGCGTCATGGCTTCCTTCCGTTGCTTCCTTCGCTTCTTTCTCGCCCTCCTCTTCCTTTTCCTCTTCCCCTGCTTTGCCTTGCCCCGCCCCCCTTCCTTTCCAGCTCGGAGCTGTCACCGGGCGCGGAGAGCGCAACCCAAAAGGCGTTGCTGTAATTCCTTTGTGTGTCACGAAGTCTCGCGTAATTAGTTTGTGTACGGTCTGGTTACATTGCCAACGCGGGTGGCACACAATAATTTCCTTAGTGTACGATTTTTTCGCCGCCCCCATAAGAGAACGCGCGATTCCTTTGTGTAGAGCTTGCTTCCGCCTCGAGGAGCGCGCGGGGCCTGGCGCTACAATCACAAGGCCGCGGCGCCTGGCAGTGCGATGCAGCTGCGCGGGATACCACGCCCAACACGATCTTACGTGGATTCCGGCTCTTCTGCCGAATTCGTGCTGGCAGCTGGCCAGCCACATTGCCGGCCCTGCATGCCCGCGCGCGCTACTGCGTTCTGCTGCCGCGACGCGTGCTGTTGTCAACGGATGAACAAACTGACGTTGCACGGTGGTTTGGCTGTGCCAAGCCACCATGGAATGTTTGTTGGTAACGGATATTGGGATCTTGTCGCCGCCGACAGCCTTGCCACGCCATACATGTCAACTGCTTCCTAGAGCACGGCCGTGCATCAACCCTGGTTCGGATCAGTGGGGATCCAGCGGCATGTGTGCACATGCGTCGCATCGTTGGTGGTACCAAAGTTGTTATGTGAATTTTCATTGTGTGTTTTTTTTTTGGCTCCCAAACCCGAGTCCACCGTACCCGGGTCTTACGGTTCCCGACAGGTGCGTACTGAGTGGTCAGATCGGTGTCTGGTGTTCGTTGCATGTAGCGATCGCAGAGAGGCCGCATGCGTAGCATGGCACGAGTAGGCAAGCGCAGGGACACCCCACAGGACGAGGATGGGGAGAAGAGATACGTTGGGAGGAGGAGGAGGAGGAGGAGGAGGAGGAGGAGGAGGAGGAGGAGGAGGAGGAGGAGGAGGAGGAGGAGGAGGAGGAGGAGGCGGAGGACGAGGCCGAATTGGCTCAAGATGAAGAGGTGGCGGGCACGGCAGGTCTTCGAAGCGGAGGAGCAAACAAAAATGCAGTGACACAAATGTTCGGATGTCTGTGCGGATGTCTTGGATCGGCGCCGGGCCCTTCTGGCGGATGGCGGTGCCTCCGGCGCCGCCCCCGGCGCGCTCTGCGCGCCAGGGAAGGGGGTCCAGCGCCGATCCGAGAAATCCGCGCGGACCTCCGAAAGTTTATGTTCGTGGCGTTTTTGTGGCTTTTCCTGGGCCTGGCGCGAGGGGAGGCGGCTCGTGGAGCAGAGCGGTCCCAGTGAGTCTTTCGCACCTCTCGGACTCCCCTTTGGGGGCAGCAGTAGGGGGGGATGGCCATAGGGGGGGACGCATCGACGCAGGATCGCCCATTGATCGCCGATGGGGGCCCGATGGCCCCAACCAGCCCACAAAGATACGGATTCACTATCGGTGGCCCGTCGCCGATCTATCGAGGATAAATGGCCGATTCCAGGTCGATGCATTCCCCTCCATGCCAGTCCCCTCCTATCGTTGCCCCTCACCCCCTTGGGGCCCCATCCTTAGATCACCCGCGACGGGAACTTTTTGGTAACGAGCTTTGGTCGCGCCGACTTTCGGTAGCGACCGGAGGGGGTTGCATTTCGGTAACGAAACAAAGGCGCGACGGGATCCCAGCGAGGGTCGACGTCTCGCTTGTGACCGGGATGTGCGACCGGAGGCCGAGTTTTGGTCGCGACCAGTTCGTCTCCGGCGTGACCAGAAATGTTCGGTGATGGAAGATTTGTGTCGCTGACCCCGAGATGCCTGTCAACAGGCATCTCGGGATGCAGAGTGGGGTTTGGGGGGAGCTGTGGGGTCTGGGGGAAGCTTCCGCGAGGACCTGTTTACGTTTGCGTCGAGCAGGTTCGATTCGCCTGGGCCTCGACGCGGTGGCGACGGCGGCATGCAGGGTTGAAGACCATCTTTGGGGGATTCTCTCGAGTCCCCGCGACCAGCTCTCAACCCTCCTCCCACCATCGTCCTCACTCCAGGCCCCCCAAGCATGGTCGGAGTAAGTCGGAGGATCGGCGACGTGAGCGCGATCTTCCGACCCCACCTACTATTTTAACAGAAAGCGTGGTCCTAGAGGTCTTGTGCGAGGTCTTGTGTGGGATGACTTGTGCGGTCTTGTGTTGGCTCTGTCTTGTGTGAGGTCTTGGCCACACTGGCGGACTCGTACACGCTTATCTATTGGGCAACGGCTTGTGCGCGTCTTGTGCACGACCATTCTTCGCTCGACCATGTTCCTGTTGAAAATAGTACTCAGAACTCGGACCCCATTCTTCACCGAGGGCGTTCCACTACTCGCAAAGTGGCTACTCGCAAACGTCCGAAAAACACTTGACTGTTTTGATTTAATGTATCGTAGATCCTCCGCGGGGGATCCAGGCCATTTGCGAGTAGTCACTTTGCGAGTAGTGGAACGCGCTTGTCTAATTCTGGAGGCCTCCGCTCACCTGAGGCTCTGCACAGCTTCTGGCCTTTGGGGCGGCCTATATAGCTCGGCCTCTGCCCCCCTGGAGCTTGTCTTGGCCACCTGGCCTGTCCTCCTCGATCCCCCCCCCCTCCTGACTTGGCCGCTCCTCGAGGCCCCCATCATCCTCGATCCCCCCTCTCCTCGATCGATCCCGCCCCTCGACCCCCCCCCCCTCATCTGGGCTCGAGGCCTTTGACTTGGCCGCTCCTGCGGCTTGCGGCTCCTCGTCGCGCGCCCGCTCGCCGCTCGCCGCGCTGGCTCCCACGCGCCCGACCCGAGGCCTGGGCGCGCGGTGGAGAGGGAGAGTCGGGGCGCTGGAAGGAGGAGGAGGAGGAGGAAGAGGAGGAGGAGCTGCACCGCACCCTACCTGCTCTGCCCTGCAGCGTCCTAGCCTTGCAGGCGCTGGCCCGCGAAGGCGGACGGGAGCGGCCATCAGAGGCGTGTTTCCCATGCTGCCTGGATCAGGGGCTGCGGCCCACAGGCCGGAGGGGCTTAGGATGGGTTAAGCACAACGGTCCAGAGGGCCCCGAGTCATCGAACACTTCTGGATTGGTCCTCCTTTAGTGTTACGATGCAATTAGGAGAAAGGAGGAAGGAGAAGGAGAAGGAGAAGGAGAAGGATGAGGAGGAGGAGGAGGACCGTGCAGGCCCAAGTCGCATGAGCGATGTTGCAATACCCTCCCTCGCAGTTCGCTCTTCGTAGGTCCTAACAAGAATTTCAAACTTATGCAAATTCAGAGAAGTGCCCCATTGGAAGAAACTTGCTTAAGAAGTCTGAACCGTGCCCGAATACAAACACCGTTCCTGGAACATCAACGCCGCGAATCAACATGACTGTTGCGTCCTGACAGTCATAATTGCGCCAGAACGCCATTCCTGGGACTTTAACACCGCACATCCAGATAACTGTTGAGACCTGACAGTCCCAAATCATGCAGAACGTCCTTCCAGGGACTTCCACCATACGAATCCATGAAACTGTTGTAAGATTTCAGGGTGAACTTGTCCAGCGCTAATGCGGGAGCCACATTTCGAGAAGGAATTGCCTTCCAGCCATCAAATGGCTGCAACATGTTATAGCGAATGTGCGCGGTGCTGAGGCGAGAACCATATTTTGAAAGCGGCCCGCTTTCTATCCGTGAAGCTGCTGCAAACGTTTATGCAAATTTCAAGCTTCAGGGCCATAGGTTGTGAGGAAACCTCAGGCGAAACGCCTGGTCCGCCCTACCAGCGTGTGGGGTGGGGTGGGGGGGGGGCGACAGGGAGGAGTAATTAGGAGCGGTGAGGATGGAGGAAGAGGAAGAGGGGGACGAGGAGGAGGAGGAGGAGGAGGAGGAGGAGGGAAAAGGTAACGGGACAGGGGAGTGGATGAGGACAGTGAGATGGAGCAGGAGCAGGAGGAGGAGGAGGACGGGGCCATGATGGGAGGAGCCCGCTGGTGGCGGCTGCGCGCCAAGAGTAGCCCTTGGTGCGGGCGCACGGGGGTCCCCCGATTGTGCCGGGCTCGGTGCCATCGAGCAGCGGCCTGCACGCTCGGGCTCTGGCCCCCCCGTGGCCCCCCAGGAAGTTGCGAAACAGCGGTTGTCCTTGCCTGGGGTCGCTCTTGCACGTACCGTCGGGGCCCTGAAGAAGGAACCCT